ATAGTGACAATGTTTCTTTTTTTAACTATGGTATAAACATGTTTAACTTTCGTAAGGTACAGGGTATACCCAGGGGTTAAGGTGAGTTAAGCATTAGCTTTGCAATGCGCCTGCACATCTTGATTCCATGATCTTGGAAAGGTCAAGCGTGATGTAGACGGAAGTACCGACTCAGTGTTTACAAAGCCAACATGCAAAGAACGTCAAATGAGATGGAGTTTTTAACCAAACTACAAAGATAAAAAACTAACCGCGCGTGACCTTTCCAACAGGATTGCGTAATGAATCCGCACCGTAGAGCTAGAGCAAGCTGAGCATTTGTGGTTAAAAGGTATATATATATATACAGTATAGGTGAGTTGGAGCCCATCAGAGTGGAGTTGACTGTCACCTACTGACTGTTGCATATTCTCTATTTTGTTATACTATTAAGTTCTTGTTTGTTATTTTCCAGTTACCTGTGTACTTTTGTAGTCCTTTGTTATTTTATTATTTATTGCTTTACCGTATCACAGTGTTGGCCACTCTTACAGATTTGCCTTGAAACATTGCTGTGACACAGAGTCCTAACAGAAGTCCTTATTTTTTATATTTGGTTAGGAGATATCGTCTTTTAAAATTCTGGCAGTTTAATGCCTACAAAAACGGCTAGTAGGGACTACAACAAGTTACTTTCATGACGTAACAAACCCAGATAACCCGCCCTCGGGAAAAGGCAGCAAAGGGTGCCTTGATGCGCTGCTTTAGAGAAGAGGAAGAGAAAACTAGAGGTGCACGTAAAAATCTATTCATATATGAATCGCGATTCTGTCTTCTAAAGATTCTAATGGATTCAAGTTTCAAAATCAATGTTCTAAAGCAGCGGTTCTCAATCCAGTTCCTCGCGTCCTGCACCCCATAAACACAATCAAGCCTAGAAAAAAAACAGTGAACCACCCCTTTAACAGTTTTTTTTTTTGCAATGTATTTTTCTGTAATTGTGATCACAGGTGAAACCTGCATCAGAGGGGGAGGACTTTTCTGCTCCCTCATATACTGCAGTGACAACTTTGCAAGTACATGCAAAAGATCTCCAGAAATTCGTTGACTCTTGCCCACAGCTGAAAGGAAAAGTGGACAGTATGTCTATTAAAAATACATTTAGAACATGATTTTTTGTTTGTGTGTGTGTGTGTGTGTGTGTGTGTGTGTGTGTTTGTTTTTTTTACTGTTCTTTGTATTTTGGATAAGTGGTTGCAAATTAGTTTTTTCTGCATTCTGTTCAAAGATTTGTTCAAATTTTGTTAAATAATATAAATATTTCTTTGTTAACTTAACATTTAACTATGTAATATAGTTCATTGTTAATAACTTTGAAACATATCTATTGTAGCATAACTAAAATTGTTTAATGTTACACTGTGACTACACGTAACAAGAGGGTAAAAAGGGATCACTTTAAATTACAGCCCGCGGATGTTACAATTACACACTCATTCTTCCCACTCGTCGCTCTTTTGCGACTTTCTCAGTTGGTCACACCAGCACATGATTTGGTCGCAATATTTTTATTTTTAGGGATTAATCAATGCATGCTGATGAACTTTTATCATAGTTTATAGTTATATGAAAACGAAAGTGGTTAACATTCATCTACACACCTTTCATTTTTTAAGACTAAAACAAAAGATGGATTCATTGTTATTCTTAATCAAAAAGCATAACAACAATAAAACAGTAAGATACAATCACAAACTAACTTACAAAACGTTTATTAACAAAAACGAATAAGACGAGGCATGGCATA